GCATGTGCAATTCATATCTCATGCATATTTAGTTCATATTGAATGCATGGTACTGGATGCATATTTACTTCATACATATTGCAAACCAAGGGCAACATGTCAATGCCGGAAGTCAACGGTCAACGTCGGAATCAACGGCGGAAGTCAACGGTCAACGCTGGAAGGCAACGATTTTCGCCGGAAGTCATCAGTCAACGCTGGAAGTCAACGGTCAACGCCGGAGTCAACTAATAATTATTTTATTATTTAATTAATATATATTTTAAGGAGTGGACTCATTTTAAAGAGTGAACTCATTGGATCCTCTCCCTCCCTGTATATATATATATATATATATAATCTTAGTACTTACGTTGACTTCCAATAGTCTCATATTTTTGTCGCACATACTAATTGACTAATTTCACAAATATACTGCGCACAAAAGTTTCACATAATTATCAACTAGATTTAGACCGGTTGTGCACGTAATTATAGACTAAAATTTGAGCAGACTATGTTTTGCACAGCCGAAAGGCAACTAGTATTAACATATATAGTTTAAAGGTCAACAAAATCTTTACACCTGGAAATCTTTACACTTGGTGACACATCTTATATGACCACAATGAATAGGTAAGAAAAATGCTGAAACACCTTGAGATAGAACCCATCAATTTGAACCAACTGTAGATCAAACAAAATCAAATCAAATATCAAAACTAAGAAATTATCATAATTTCAGAGTATATCAACTTGTGGCGAAAAAAAGATACAATTTTATGCCACACCAAGTTCAAACAAATTTTTTTAGATTTTACAATAAACTAATGCCATACAACAACGTAAAACCGAGGCAAGGCTTAGAAACCAAGATCAAAGCGAAAGCCTTCCAATACATCATTTTCAGTATGCTTTATGTGTATACATACATCATCTAAAACATCTCAAAATTGAATCAAATGACTCATAACTTGGTCCCTACAAATTCGACAATGAAGAAGCAGTGGTACCACTCGGCAATTTTTGATTGGCCCAACAAGAGATGAGATGATGTGCAATGGCAAAAGGTCCCGGTACAAACATGGGGGCAAGTTCCCCACTCTCCACATTGAAATCTGAAGACAGGCTTTGTTCTTTCACCAACCCTCTGCACATTTGCTCCACCTTAGCAGCCGCTGTCTTCTGTGCCTTGCGGTATTCGGCAAATGTGAGAGCTTTCTTCACATCCTCTCTACTATGCCATTGAGCATCTATCACATTTCGAAGTGGGGGAAAAATGAACATCTCTCTACATCACGCCGTGTCTCGAAAAACAACCGTGTTCTTCGTAGGTCAAAAATATAAAAGGACAAATTACAGAAACTAACCCTGAGGTTTTGGTCATTCACAAAAAATTCCCTAAATGTCCACAAGTCGCCAAAGAGTTGGAAAATGAGGTTTAATTTCTGATTAAATTTAAGGGGATGATTGTAATATCAAACAAAATCTGATATAGATTCAAACAGAACTTTTTTTTTTTTCGGGTAAATTAGGAAATGCTCTGGGTGTTTTTGCAACTAACCCTACCTCGAGTGTTTTCTGTAATCATACTAATCGTATATTCTAATGCAAATTATTTAAACTATGCAAGTGAGAAGCAATTACAGAAAGTACCTTCAAGTTCATCCTTATCCACACTTATATCAAGTGTTTTTGCATATGCAAAGAACCCTACCATTAGCTGACACGGCATGCTGCTAGGTCCCACTGAGGAAACACCACATGAGACACAGTTTTAACTTAGACTGATAAGCGGTAACAGATGATTTTGAACAAATGCAGGAAATAGCAAAATTTTCACTACTTCAAACATACTATTCCAAAAACAAAATGTTCACAGTAAGGACAAGCATAACATAAGAGCATTCTCCGCGTTATTACCACATAGAACAATCAAAAGTACATAACCAACCAAGTTCCAAAGAAACTATCGAACATTTATTAAATTTTCTTCAAACAAATTTCAATTAAAACTAAGGTTAATATTAACAAACCTAAATCATACAGCTATAGTAACATATACCCATGTCCAGATGAACTCCACGTGTCTATCATCCTCTCACAGACTCACAGTAAGTGTATTCAAATAGGATCAATCCTACAAGGTAGTACACAAATCTAAACCACAAGGTAACAAACAAGAAATTCTCCTCACCTACGAAAAGATAATACAATAAAAAGGTTGGTTGCAAAAACCTCTTTAAACACTTTGGCTGCTAAAAATTCATGCTTTAGAATCTTACAACTCATTCCAGTTTCGACTTTATGCTTTATTTCACCACAACGCTGCCTTTAACAGGGTGGGTCATTTGACAACATCACATATTAAGAACAGCTATTTTTTTTCCACCCATTACACTGAACATGGATGGTTTCATTATTAATACCTGCAAAATTACAAAGCCAATAAAATGAGGGGAATTCTGAAAGGGCTAGTAAGCAAGCCAGCTTTAAGCACGTTAAGAGACAGAATTTATTTCAGCAAAGCGGTAGAACATCCAGATGGGAAAAATAAATTAAATTGCACATATCAGCATCTAGATGCTTTACCAAAGTGAGGTTATTTAATGAAGTTTGAAATATCATATTTTAGCAAACTTGACCATGTGACAAGCCTGAAAAGAATGAAATACATATAAACAGCATGGAAACCTAATGCCATCGTTCACAAATTTCTAATGGCGGTTAGGCAGAAATCTGCCAGGTGCCATGGTGGAAATTTGACAATGCTGCGTATAAATCTGCAATTGTGCATTTAAACCCTCGAAAACATCAACATAAATTCCAAGAGAGCAAGCAGACAACGAACTACAAGAAATAGATTAGTACCCGGCCATGGCTGAGAACTGTGATAGACAACCTCACCAACTTCAATGCCTGTCTCCTCCAATGTTTCTCTTCTGACTGCTTCTTCTAAGCTTTCTCCTGGCTATTCCCAGCAAAGGGGGGAAAGGAAGAATAAGCACAAGCGAGAGCAGGGAAATAAAAATAAGAGAAAACTTTGAAATTAACTATGAAAACACACCTCAATAAAGCCAGCAAGGCAGCTCCACATGCGTGGCACGAATCTTGATTGCTTACTTAATAGTGCTCGGTCATTCTCTTTATCAATAACTAACATAATAACAACCTGACATAAGAGAGCCAGTTAGGAAACATGCCAATGCTTTGAAATATGAGAAACAATATCACATCACGCACAGGATCTAAACGAGGATATATCCTCTTTTTGCACAGCTCGTTCGAACACTGCCTCCTTTTCCCAGCTTCCACAGAGACGGACTTGCATCCACAATGCCCACAAAAACGTGCCGTATCATGCCATTCTAGCAGAGCTCTGGCCTGATAAATACGATATTATATATGCAAGAAAACAAAAAAGAGATGTCTGAGTAATAGTAGTACATAATATTTTGCTGTAAATGCAATACTCAAGAATGAAAAAATTTCAATATTTCTCCAGCTGCACAACATCGGTATACGAATATTGAGTTAGACAATGAAACCAAACGAGAGAGTCAGCCAAACTACAAAAACATGGACAGAAGTTCCCAAAATAACATTAACAACCAAATAATTACAGGACGCTCATCAACAATCAAAGCTGATCAAAACAGAATATTTCAAATTAACAAACTCTAGCACCAACACCTGAAAAGCCAAACACTCACATGGCCAGCAACGGCGAGCTCCCCCATGGCCTTAGCATCGGTCCAATCAGTGGCGACCATGAGAGTCCTCAGCTCCACGAAGCAAAACCTCCGAGCTCCTAACTGACCAACCAACCCGCCGGCATCCGAAACGTCAACACCCCAGTACACGACGTCGTCCCCATAATCACACCCCAAGTACACCATTGAATCATCCTTTAGCCCAATTTCAGAATCCTCCAGATACCTTTTGCACTCCCACAGGCTCAGCCAGCCGAGACGCCACGTGGGCCCGTCCTCCTCGCACCCGGCCAGCGGCCTGCCCTTTCTGAAGGGCAAAACCCTGAAATCGGGGGAAACGGGCCCGTTGCTCGGGCCCGATAGCAAGGCCCGGAGGTTTTCGAGCGCGGATTGTGGGGAGAGGGTGTCGGTCGGCCTCGGGGTCCTTGATCTCGTCGGATTGCCGGCGAAAGCGTGAAAATTGAGACTCATTTTTCTGGTTCCGTAGGAGAGTGATTTGGAGAGGAAATTGGTGATGGTGGATGAAGAAAAGGATGGCATGCTAATTGTCCTGTGTTTACTTGCATCGGCTTTTATCCGCCATGAACGGTCGTCTGCGGAGCTATGGCGGTTAGTCAATTTTGATGTGTGGTGGTGACAGCTGTAACGTTGTGGGCTAAAGAGTAAAGAGCCTCTCTCTGGGATTTACGGATTTTCTCCTGG